TTTAATTGAGAATATTCGTAGGAATCAAATCAATCCTTAAACCTAATTAGGTAAAATTCTATTTAATTGGGTAACCCCCAATTAAATTGAATAATTCCCAATTAGGTCAAATAATCCCCAAATGGTAGGAATTATTGACCTAGGGTTATGAATTAATTCGGTTCCCACAAATGCCCCCCAGCTTCTGCATGGCGCGTGGTGGCATGTAGGAGATGTAGATCATCTGTTCGGCTGTCCAGCTATAACTAGGCTTCCTTTAGTGAGTTGGACTCCTTTTGCAGATTCGGTTCCCAATTGGAGTGAGCTTTTGACTGTTCTTGGAGTTGGGTTCCCAGTAGGAATGGGCTTGCGATTCCTTCTTGACCTAGGATGCCCAACCTGTGTAAATGTAGGGCTTCTCCTCACTCTTCTTCACATCGCAAACTTAACTTCTCTACTTTCTAGCTTGAGAGAGGTCTTGGAAAATTTGTACTGCTTGTCGAAGAGAGGAGTCGCCGTGCATCCAAAGGTAAGTCGAGCACGTATATTTCTTTTTCTTCGTCTTTTCTTCTTTTTTGCTGCGAAGGCTTGCTGGGGGAAGTCCAGCTAGTTGTCGTCGTGACAGGCGACGACTGATAGTGGGCGGCAGTCGTGGTAGAGCAGGTGCGCGCAGGTGGACCAGCTATTGCCTATCGTCGCAGGTCTAGGCTGAAGCATGCTTGGCCTCTTGCGTTGCGAGCCTGGTCAGCTGGGCAAGTATTGGGAGGAAGTTAGTGGTCTGCCCCCTGCCCAGGATGTTGAGAGATGGAAGCAGAATGGTCCAGATTCTGATGATCTGCCCAAAGTAAGGCTGACGTCAAGTCTTCTAGAAATAGAGTTGTGACTTCGCATGCGAATGATGTGTCTCTGTTGAGTAAGAAGCCAAAGTCCAATTCTGCTGGGAAGACTCAAGTGGGGTCTGTTCCATCATCATCCGAGCCTCCTGCTAACAAGCTTGAAAATCATGATCTGCTTCGTGAGGTAGTTCGTGCTCGATCCCGTTCTGCCGAGCGTCAAAGAGATGCAGATATTCCTCTTCGTAGTTCGAGTCGTCTGCATCAGTCAAAAGATGGAGATCGAAGCGGGAGGTCTGCTCATGGCTCGGTTGTTGAGACACGGGCAGTCAAGAGTGGAGTTGATTCTGCCTCATGGACTTCTTTGGAGGCGAGGTTGGCAGAGGCTAAGAAGATGAGAGAGTCATCTGCCCGGGCGAAGGGTTCTTCTGCAACGTCAGCTGTTGGTCCCAAGGTTGACAAGCCCAACCCCACAGGAGGTGCATGCGTGTTTGATCTGCTCA